CTCCACTGCACCCCTGTAGTTGCTGCTAAGGCCATTACCTCCCACCATCAACACCTTGCACTTCCGGGTCAAGGGGCTGAAGACCTCACCCGACTGCTCACGGCTCACGCCCACCTGGGCGCCATTCACAAACAGCTTCATCTGCTGGCCCGTGTAGATGACCGCCAGGTGCGTCCACTGGCCAGGCTGGTAGCGGGCATTTGCGGTGATTGAGGTGGCCTTGTGGGCCCGGTCTGTCTTGAGGGAGAAGAAGAATCGGGGATCTCGGTTCCCCTGCTCGCTTGTGGCCCGAATTCCCACCAGCCATCCCCGGTCACTAGAGGCGTAGAAGCACTTGTCGAACAGACCTGTGGCAGATAAAGTGATATGTATGCAGTCAGACACACATCAAAGTCAAAGCCGTCATCCATCCCTTTCATTAGCCAAGCAAGACACACTATAAGGTTTATCAGAACAAAAAACAAACATAAACCTATGAATGGCTATACGTAAAATTGCTAAAGTAGTTTAAGTACCTATTTTGATGATTAGGGCAATAATCAAGAAGTTAAAATTCTGCCTGGAATAGGATGTCTGGGCATATCTGTGCCCGGCCAGTGGCGTCCAGGGACAGTTGCCATGCACACTTCACCAGAGGCGAACTGTCAGATGGCAGGATGGAGAAGTTCAACAGGAACGCAGACTCAGTCCTGATGACCACAAAACACTTGCAAGGTTGTTCCTAATAAACTGGGAAGAGGAATATACCGAGGACTGATAAACAGGATCTTGGTCCGAATCCTGGAGACCAAGAGAAAGGCTTGGGAGCTTGTTCTTGTTCAGCGAACTAGGAAGAGAGCTTTCCAGTGGCGTCTCTGGAAGGGATAATTGGTGGGGCCCGGACCATGCCTTTGCGTCAATGATTGTTCCTGGCTTGTACTCAGTTATTTTCCGTAATTAACACATTTTCCAATTATGACAATAATCCTCTGGCAATCGAAGTTACGGTTTCTGTCTCCATGCGATATATTGACGACTAAATAATGGGATAAATTCAGATCAGAAAAATTATTTAGGCCACTCAAAAATTGTTCAACGCTTTATGAAAGACAAACTGCTCTCAAACGTCTGCGCTACCTTTTCCACACATCAAGTGATTTAACTGGCGCTTCATGATCATTTTGTTTAAATAAAATAAAAGACCATTTGAAACATCTGTGTGCAATTCTGAATAACGCTGATTTAAATGCACGAAATTACGCGTCCAGATTAATGATTGTCGCCGTACCGAAATGTACCTTACCGTACCGGTGTGTTCTCGGAGTGAATCTATTGATTAGTCCCTCAAGGTAGTTGCATGTCGCGATTGCAACTATTCAAGCAAATTCAACCAATCCACGCAAATTTCTCGCAGACAACAAAATAAATCGCCAAGACATTGCAACTTTCATTGCCACTTTTTGAAAAAGCTACCGCAAAAAATCAATAAAACAATAAAAAAGCCAGGAAAATCCGGGAAGGATTGTTTGTCAATTATGTGAATGATTGCGTGCAAGTCAGGGTTAGTAATTGTTTTAAAGGGGAGCTCTGGGCCCCACCAATCGTCAGTCCTAGAGACGCCCCTGGAGCTTCCATATATCACTATCATTAAAAGTTATAATAATTTTCAAAGACCAAGAACTATACAAACAAATACTAACTGATTGCTAAAGGGCATATAGCAAGCGACAATCCAGCAACTTGCAAACTCAATGAAGGAGGTATAAATACATGAATACACATGTGAGGAATGAGACGCATGAATAGAACACAGTTGATGAGAAGAGAACGCAGGACATAAACCAATCAAAAGAGACAATACCTCTATTGACACAAAAGCTGCTGGATGTGAGCAGGCACAAGAGGAATTCACAGGGGGGTTGTGACGAATGCATGCACAGTGGAAGTGTAACCATCCTGGTGCCCAGAGATGTCGTAAGGGCACCAGAATAGTAAGTAAAAGTGGAGGACCCAAGTGCAAGGGCGTGATATTTATTAAATAAACACAGTGCAGACGAAACAGAAAGTAAGACTTCGCAGGGCTATAACTAAGGAACAAAACAAGAGTGCTCCAAACTAAAAGAGTTACACTGTTACCTGCCTCTGAGAGGGAAGAACTAAGGTATAAATAGAAAGGGTGTAATTAACTAATAGAAAACAGGTGTAACCATAAAACAGAGAGCAGGGAGATAATTGGAAAATTAAGATTAGGCAGGTAGCCAGAAAAAATGGGAACGCCCAGGAGTGGAGGCATTACAGGAAGATGGCTCAAGCTGCAAAGGAAAGTCGAAGACTCACAGTTGGGAAAGTGCACACATTACTTCTGACTTCGTGTCAGATAATCTCTAAAACAATGATCAGATGCTATTTAGACAACCACAAGATGTTTGGGTGGGTTGCTAAAAAAAGTCTCAGTTATATTGGCAAAGAGAGGTTACACAAAATATTAGATGAAGTGGATCCAGTAATTGTGGTGTACGTGTTTTCAAGAAAAATACATTTTACAGTAATAATTTTTTTCTTTCAATCACTGTACTTCAATGAAAAAATATTTTTTTTAATGTTCTGAATCACAAGTCAAGGAGGTAAACAATGAAGGCATAAACTACTTTTGGTCATAATTACCAAGGGTGCCAATATTAATGGAGGACATGTTAAAGGGAAAGATTTTAAACGCTAAACTGAAAGGATTTCCACAGTATGAGAGAAAGGCCGAAGGGAGTCTTTGCTCTGCTGGATGGCTTTACAGAAAAATATAGTGGAACATACTGGCAGATTGTGAGGTAAATACCCGTCATAACTGTGCCCTACTCGAGAACTGCAAGATTGAAAGCATTTTTTCTTTGATAAACAGACTCTCCCTCTCATAGGCTTTATTTGAGGTTTACAAAGCAGTTAATGTGTGCATACCCAGCTGAAAAATCCAGCAAAGACTGTTGGCATTATAAAGTGGTTTAAGCTATGGCTTATAGGCCTACACTTTCAGCAGGTCATAATTTGTCATCTTGCTGGCTTAAGCTGGTTTTTTGCGAGTCAGAGCTGCTCTCTCTCAGGCTAAATCCAATTGACATCTTGAGCCAATGAGTTTCTTTTTGGGGGGATATCTGTGATAAGATAAATTTTCAGTATGAGCTGCGTCGGTGAAATGTGGATAGATATTTGATGAAATAACTTATCAAGGTTGACTTTTAAATTGCATCAAGGGTGTGTGATGCACTGACCACATTATGCTTGGTATCTTTGGAAAGAGTGGACTCATCTTTTTAGGTAATGTCCATTATGTTGGTGTGGAAGGAAGCAGAGGGGTATACTACTAAGTGAGATTAGTGGGTCAGCAAGGGACATTGAGCCTAAAGCTGGGGTTCAGGTGGCTCTCTTCTAACCTGCCATGGTAAATTATTGTTTCGCTGCAAATTTAGGGTTTGTCGAGCCAGCTCACGGGAAGAAAGCCTGGCTAAACTTGAACTTGCTCTGTAGTACACCCCCTGATCTTTTTTCAATAGTATTCAGATGTTGTCAGTCCAAGATTTTCTGTGGCATCTGTAAACATTTTTAATCGCAAATGGTATTTTTCAGATATAGTTTGGACTAAGCATCAGTGGAAGGCTGTTTTAGAAACCGCAAAAAAGGCAATCATACTGCCGCATATGTTACATACCCCTTTTTAACAGCCGATTCCTATTTACCAGTAGTGGTCAACCACTAAGACGGGTTCAAAACACAGCTTAAACCAATCAACCCAATCTGGTGTATGATGGTCTTCTTCATCCAGAAGAACATCCAAAACGCCAAAAAAATTTTCTGACCAACGGGCTCTCTCAACAAAATGGCTGCCAAAATTTGTAAAAATGACAGCCGCTACATTCCCAAATTATAGTCAGTTTCAATGCAGTTGGCCTAAGTGCCAGAGCATGTGATCAAGGTAACAATATTTATGCCAGTAACTCGACATTGTACATCACACATTCAAAAACCTTATATCCATTCGCTCCTAAAGTTATCGAATGAATTTTAAGCCATCAATCTGTTTTGAAAGTGCAAATGTCTCAACAAGTGTCATAACGTTAAATTTTACATACACATTCATAAATTACACTTGCCCTAAGGCAATTGTAACCAAACTCGGTGCACGTCTGGATTATAGGTCTCAGCATCACTACAGAGCATGAGGACATTCTGCTGGGGGGGTGCAGCAAACACGAAGTGTTTATATCCCATAATCGGCTGCATGAACTTGTGTCAACTCTATCGCAACCTGAACCTTGCACTGCACCCATGGGCTTGCTGGTTTGACTTGCATTGCCTTGACAAGCCACCAGATGAACTATAGTGTGGGGGGCTTGGACGGCATTGATACAGTGCCTGCTAGAAGGTCTACCTATTATTGTTGTCATTATTTTTATTATTATTACTATTATGATTATTGGGTGGCACTGCCACCTCACAGCAAGAAGATTGTAGGTTCAAATCCGGCCAGGGGCTTTTCCGTGTGGAGTTTGCATGTTCTCCCCGTGTTCGCATGGGTTTCTTCCGGGTACTCCGGTTTCCTCCACCAGTCCAAAGACATGCACATCAGCCAAATTGGAGACACTAACTTGCCTGTACATATGAGTGTGAGAGTAAATGGTGTGTGAATAGTGTGTGCACCCTGCAATAGATTGGCGAGCTGTCCATAGTCAGCTGAGATAGGCTCCAGCTCCCCCTGTGACCCTAGTGAGGGTGAGGGGTGAGGGTGAGGATGAGTAGTAGAGAGAGTAGAGTAAGCCTGTTCCAAGCGTAGTGGCCCATCAGGCCAGAGCTTAACCACGGTTTCCGTGGCATGAAGCCACTAGGAGTATTACTACTCCCCCTGGATGGGATGCCAGTCCATCACAGGTACTCCCCCAGCTTTTAGTCAAGTTTCCCTGGTACCCATTTATACACCTGGGTGGAGTGAGGCGGAGTGTGGGAGTGAAGTGTTTTGCCCTAGAACACACGGCGAAGGCCATGGCCAGGGCTTGAACTCAGGACCTTTTGATCTGAAGTCAAGTCTATTAAACCACTGCACTCCCATAGGTTTAGAGGATGGATGGATTATTATTATTGTTTCTGCTGTTTCTTTCTATGTTCTTTCCGCTTTAAGTAGCTCAAGCTCCAAAACCATTAAAGCAGGACAGACCTAACTTTCTACATGGATTCCAAATCTCATCCTCTACTCAGTCAATGAAAATTAAAGCAATTGGGACAAATGATAGCACTATATCATCATGCTTATGTTTTAGACCATCAGTCCTGAGTTGTAAATAGCAACAACAATATTCTTTTCTTTCGGTTTCGGTGGGTCCTAACAAATCGATCCTGAAAAGCCCCGGCCATTTTCTTATGGGTAGATTTCCCACTATCTTAAACTTTTTGCAAAACAGTTTTTCATGTGCTCTCCTACAATTTTTGAATGATTATCAAGACCTTGAGTAGAGCATCTTCTGACTAAGTGGGAAGAGGTTCCTGATTGGAATTCTTATAAATCATACCATTTTTCAACAATTGAATGTCACAGTTCACTCAAATGCCGTGGATGGGGTTTATTTTACAAAAAAGTCTCATATCTCCTGAACACTTTGTCTTTATGAAACCAAATGGTGGACATGCGTCGATATGATCTCTGATTGGCCCTCACAAATTTGGTGTCAATTGGCCAACAGATGGTGCTATAGGAAGCAAAAATTTAAAAATGCTTATATCTCTTCAACCATTGACCTATTCTGTATTGAGTAAACTTCTAACAGCCCTTCCAATAATCAAGGGAAATCTTTCAAAACATGGATGCTATTTGACAGCCTCAGAAGTTACCAAGCAACATGGAACTTGGTGGGTGTATTTACATCTCGATTAGGTAGCACAAAATTTCAAGAGAATTGGCCATTAGGGGACGTAATGGCATATTTGCATATTTCAATAAATGCACCATTGACTGAGTCATGCAAAATCATATAACATGTATCATTTGACTGGGCTTCTTCTGCTCAATGACTTTGCCTCTAGCATCAACATTGACATCCCTTTTCATGTTCCGCCAAATTGAAATTTGTTCAAAACCATATTTTTTGCCACTCCACCCACAATTATTAAGCTATCATCACCACATTTGGTATATATTCCTAGTTGGAATTTTGATTTTTCCATGCCCTTACGCTATAATTTGTGAGGCCAATTTTTTTCAAGACCGCTACAACTTGTGAACACTTTTTCTAAAGTTGATTACACACTTGTGTGTTATGAGACTTCTTGTATAAAAATCAATTTTGGTATCCCTCTGACACCAGGTGGCACTATTAGTGGTAAAAATGGTTTTACATTGATAGCTTTTCAACTGTCTGATTTTCAACTGTGTTTGTACTGCATCTGTGTCAAAGCCACAAACAATCCTTGCAATGAACAAAAAATATCTTAAAGAATGTGGCCATGAGCAGCCAGTAAGCCTTCAGCCGCAATTTCAGTTTGTTGCTTTGACATATCATCAAGTGTGTGTTTTACATATGTTTTTGTGTGTGAATTAGTGTGCACATTCATGCCAATGAGCATGTTCGTGTGTGTGTGTGTGTGTGTGTGTGTGTGTGTACATTCATGCACATGAATGCATGTACATTTATACATCTGTGTGTATACATGTTTTTCTATGTGGGCATGTGACCCAGCCGGGCAGTCTAAGGGCCCAGGTAGGTGCTTTATGAGGGCTGACACATGCACCCGGTACGAGTGGCGTTTACCAGTTTTGTAACGATTTAAAGTTGCTGCTCGCTGTACCATCCCAATGCATTCCTCTCACCCAGAGTCAGATTCCCACACAATAGGAAAGGTCTGTTCAACCTAGGTCAACATCTCACGTAAACATGACTTCAGAGACAGACTTGCGCAACAGCAATAAAAAAAAAAACATAAAAGTGCTTTGCTTTCAGAAAAATGTGCCTGTCACTGCCAAGATTTGTTATCTAAAAGCATTGTTATGGAAGAGAGACCCTTTCCCTGTTCCTCATGCGGGAGAGTCCTCCACAACCCCGCAAGTGTCATGGTAAATTACTGTGGAATTCTGATTAAAGGTGGACACTCATATTCGGCCACAAACAGGAAGAGAGATGGGCGGGGACTTGGACCGGATTGCTTGTCACATAAATTATGGCAACAGTTACAGTGAGACCAAGTCCTTAAATAAACGTGCCTGCTTATATATTTCAGAAGTGGAAATTTTACATTTTGCATAATGTTTCATCCATAGCAACCCCAACCCCTTTCAACGGACAACTTCAGTATCATTGCTCAATCAAGTGTTCAAGTTTACACAAATCACTGCATAAAATGTAATGACAAAAAAAAAAAAAAACCCATCCAACTTGCATAAAATCAAAAACACAAAGCCAAGGACAAATGTTGTGGGCAGATTGAATAGAAGCCAAAACATCACAACAAACAGAGCTAAAGCTGTACCAGTTGAGTCCCCTCAGCATCTGAGGTGAAGTCAACAGCAATTTATTCATTGTAATCAAGTGATGCCAGACGCCACAGCTGAATCACTGCCATGCAGTGTTTGAATTCCAGGGTTCCTCGCATTTGTTTTGGCCACGTCTAAATTCCAGATTTCACTAATGTGGACCATCTTGTAGACCTTTTCCCACTAAGCCCAGAAATGCAGGCACTGGCAAGTCAAAGGCCCAGATGTGGCAAGAGAGGCCACAGTTCGAGAAACTGAGCTCTTTTTTTTAACAGACCTCAGCTGTCGAGGTCACCATGGGTTTCTCTTAGGCAATGCAGCTGTATCAATTGCTTTCACACTTTGAGCTCAGGACTACATGCCACTTTGAGAGGTGAACACCCTCCTTCCAAATCCCTCATAAAAAGGGGGACAGGAAATATGGGGAGGAGAAGTCCTGTGTACAGACAGCAGCAGCCTGAGAGCAATGGAGCATAAAGCAAGGCCTGAGGAACTAGTCTCAACATGCAGCCAATAAAGCCACACATGACATGTATTGGAACAAAGTGGTCAATGGGTCGTAATATATATTAATAATAGAGGAGGAGAAAAACTCAATCAAAAATTACCAAAACTCTGGGGTCACAACCCCATGTGGGCTCGCCCGAACTGGCAACGAGGTCACTTAAAAACTTTGGGACAAGAAAGGGAGACCTGTGTGCGGGTAGGGTGCTGGAGTAGTTCACATTTGCAAACATTGGGGTTGCATCAGAAAAAGTTTGGGATCCTGTGCTTCAGTTGTTGAAAGAGATGCAGTGGATCTGGTAAGACTGGGTGAGACTGGACATCTCTGGATAGGAGCAGGCTCCCCATCACGCAATTACACGTAAACCAAATATTCTGTTGAACCTCAAGCCAGCATGTTCGGTGCATTTGCTATTTTGCTTTGGTGTCAGACTTCTTGGCAATGACTTCAGTGCACTTCATGTTCTTTTTTTTTTTTTTTTTTGGTGGGGGGGTTCAAAGCGCTGTTCAAGGTCCTGAATTGTGTTGTTGTAACACATTTTTGCGCTCTCACATCCTGTGATGAATCACTTTATTTTTTACTTTGCATAATGAAAGGTGGGCCTCAGTAAACTCATTTTCACTTATGGTGGCTGTTGATGGTGGAATTCTGCATAACTACATTGTAATGAGTCCCCCATGACAGACACAAGCACAGATGGGACTTTATTTTGACAAGGAAATGCAAAACGGTAAAGATGGGATACAGATCAACATGAAAACGGAGAATAAACAAACAAACTGCGTAATGCGCAGAGCACGAAACAGAAAAGTATTCCAGGGAGTCAAAAAGAAACTTCCACTAAAATGTCACCGAAGAAGTTACAAGAATGTGGGACTTAAAAAGGACCTGGGGTCTGATTGTGAATTAGGGGTAGGTAATAGAGACAAAGAGGCAGGAAATGAGGGGCAGATAATGCTGAGGAAGCAGAGGGTGACGTGACAGAACGGCGAACTCAGCCTTCACTTTGGAGGGCTTGTGAGAATGACAGAGGTGATGAGCATGCTCCACCTTAGAACTTGGAAGACTCGTGATGATTGTGGCAGGCACTGAGCATGGCTTGGAGGGTTTTTGACAGCCAGAAGCGTAGCCTCTGTCATGGAAGGCTTGCAACAACTACAGGAGGTGACAAGGATGGCTTCCAAAAAAACTGGCACATCATGGGAAATGCGAATAATAGCATAAAGGCCTGATTTAAGAAGTCCATTTACCTTGTGCTACGTTGAAAACTACAACAGCATATAATTTAACATTCTAATGTAAATTTAATTGCTTATTTAAAAAAAATATACAAAGTGATGACTTCAACAAAGCCCTAAAAATTTGGCACAGTCAACTGTATACCACTGTAAAACATCAGCATGCCTTTTATTTGCACTGATAAAGTGTATGGGCACCAATGACATCAGCTGTTGGACTCTAGAAGGCAGAAATTTCCCCCATTCCTCCAGTATGCAGGTCTTCCACTGTACAGTTGTATGGAGCCTTTGTTGTAAATTGCACTTCATAATGAAGTGGTTCTTAACCTTGCACATTGTAGAGGGTGAAATGTCCAAAATCCTACTGATTTGTCTTTGGAGATTATTGTTACCTCCAGCAAGGCGTTTATGCTTTTGCCAGTTTTTGTAATTAGTTTAAATTTCCAATATTTGGCTGGCTGGTTGGTCAGTTGGGATTTTTGTTTGTTTGTCTGTCTGTCTGTGGACCGTCTAGCTCTCACAATTTAAGACCAAACATTGTCAAACTTCACAGAAAGGTCAGACATCATTCTCAGTTGACACCGACCATTTTCGATGAATCCACTGTAGGTCAAAGTTCATGAAACGAAAATGCCCAAAGAAAAGAAAGCGAGTGAGCTGGAAAGGTAAAATTTCAGCCAGCCATCAGTTTCAGAGTTTCTCATCTCTTTGTCTGTCTGTTATCAACTTCACTCAAAAAGTTATGAACAAGATTTGACGGCCCAAAGAACAACTCAATTTTGCTGGTGATCCCATATTGCCACCCTGATCCAGGAATTTTGAAGAAGATTCTTCAGCTGCCTTGGTGA